CCAAGATTATGAAAATTTCTTGAAATTTCATTGTTATCTTGATTAAAAACAAAGTGGGATTAATTGCATGATTCATGTCGTACTAAAGCAAACAATTGAATGAAATTATTCTGGGAAATTTGCTTTCTCCGTGCTATCAGCGATTCTTTTGTGTTTTATAAAAAGATTTCTTCTTTATCGATTCGATGTCATGTATGAACGTCATCATAGCAACGTTAAATTGTTTCCACCATCAACATGCGATTCTTAATAGACGCCAACCTTGAATTTATTAATCAAACATACGACAAAAAAATCGAAGCAAGAATTCACAAAAAACTTGATCACTCATGTCGTTTGTTTCACAAAACTCGCACTCAACTCAATCTGATGAAATTTTCTAACGATTTTCTTATCAAATTACAAAGTCGGCCACCACAAAACCATCCGTCATTCTACTAACTTAGTGAAACCAATTACAGACTTCGTGATGATGGTTGAAGACCACAGCAATGCAAATTTCTTTTTTCTCGGGAGTGCCCATCGTCAACAGTGATGGCCCCAATACGCTCTAAATTGTCGTGTGCACTTTTATGCATTGTTAATGTTCGTACTTAGGGAGAATTTATGATCATTCCACTTACATGTGTGCAACATTATGAGTTTGATCATCAAATATCGTGCTTAGGCTTAAAACCTTCAAGCGCCAGTTTACCGTTCCACAAAGACGTTGAAAACTTTGATTCTTCAGTTGAAGATGTAGGAAGTCGTACATAGGAATGCTAATGAGTTAAAGTTTAAGTATGCCCACAAAAATAGTTTTGTTTCAGGTAACATTATACATGATCGAGATGAAATTCAAAACATTTCAAATCTATGGACTGTTTCAACGTTAGTCAAGGAGAAAAGCAATTAACATTGAAAGAATATTTAAAAGTTCAGAAAGATCAGTCAAAGAAGATCAAACATATAAAAAAATAAAAAATTTGACTGACTTTGAACAGGTGACATGGCATTGGAAAAAATATTAATTTCAAATTGCTATAAGTTGGCAATGTTATTGAAAGAAAATAAATTTGGTTCGATACTTTTGACCTTCGCCCAATTTTAAATATTCGTCCAATTAACGTCTAGTCGTTTGATCTAAAAAACTCAATTGGCGCGCTCCAATAGCTTTAATAACAATCTTTAGGATATTTTTTTCAATTAATTTGAAAATTTAATGAGTGAATTTAAGTGAGAATAACAAGCAGTAATTCAGTGGTTTTGTTCAGATAAAATCGATGGAAAAGTTAGTTAAAATGTGGAAAAAAAATTCTTCCGCAGTCAAATCAGGTAAATCACTACAAAATTATTATTTTCATAAAATGGACTGTTTCATAATTGGTTTAACTGTTTGATTAAAATTCATAACTTAAGCTTTAATTAATTTCATGTGCTGAATAAATTAACAAATACTGACTACAAATGCACTCATGCAGAAATCTTCAATCGTTTAAATGTGAATAAAAAGCGTCTTACTACTTCTTTTAAATGTCTTACACATTAAAACATCGACTAAGATGCTTCTTTTAATTGAGTACGCGAAGTTTTCTTAATTTACTTTTTGTGCAAGAGTGATTTGACATTGAAAATGCCTTCGAAAAACCAGAAATAAATTCGTTTAGATTTTCAGACAGATTGTTAAATAAAACATTAATTTCTGATATTTATCTTGCGATTTTTTTAATTTATTCTTTCAGACGGAATTTTAAGATTAACTCGTGTTTGACTTTTTCTACCCAACTGAATTCAATCAACAAGAATATTTATTCTGGTCGAACATTTGCTTTGCAAAATGAGTTTCTTGTCTTTTGAATGTCCCATCTTGACGATAACCAAACCATCGACCTTTCTTTTTTCTTTCTTAAAACTTTTTTCGAGAACACAAATCATCTTGTTGACAATAAAGAAAGAAGCTTTTAATTTAATTCATTCCAATGATGGATCTTGACAGTGGCATTGATGATTTTAATTAAATTGATGTATTGGGTAACTGAAAAATTTTGGGAAGTTAAAAATAAAACATGAGCAAAAGCAATTAAGTTGATGACGTTTCCATTGCCGTTGCTTAAAAATTTTCAAGAGATCATAACTTGAACCTCTGCACTTTATCTAATGATAAATTATAGGAAGTCTTGCTAAGCCAAAACTTGAAGTCATTTAAAACCAGAAAATTTCTGATGAAACCAGTCAACATTTTTAAGATAAAGAACAAAGAAATAAAAATAAAAATAAATATTGCATAAACTGTGCCAAAAAACTGACATCATTGATGCATTCCTTCACAACATCGTACCTTGTACCGAATAAATTAGCACCAAACAATGAATCCACGAAGCTTTTTCTTTTGTTCTTCTTGCATTTTTCGTTTGATGAATGAATCAGCTTGTTTTTTGATTCACAATGAAAACGGAAATAAAATGTTTCTTTTTGTTATTCATTGTTGAAACGCATTTTATATGTAATGTTGAAGAGTTTGCATTGAAAACTTTGAAGAATGTTTTAATATCAAGAACTCAATTGCAATTGACGTGCTTATGAAACCTTTCAAGTAAAGTTTTCATCGCTCTCCTCCAACTTCTTACATGTTTAATTAATTTTATTGCCTTTCCTTGTGATTATTATCAAAGTTAATTTTGTGTGCTTTTATTGCATGAAAATCGCGTGTAAAATCACGTAAAGGAATTCAAATTAATGGTGGAATAATAAAAAAGAAAAATGATTGCGGAATTTCCTGATGATTTACTTTCCTGTCCTCAAGAGAAAGTTTCTTGTTGACGAAAAACTTTTACCGCAAGGGATCAACTGAATTACTTTTTATATCTAAATATTGACTCACATTTTGTAGCTATTCAAAGCAGTAAAAAGCGTAACACTTCATAAATTACATTGATATTGTCATTATAAAAAACATAAAACAATATGAAAAAGCAATAAAAATTAGCCACAAATCATGATAACAAAAAAGTTTTTGTAATTGAACAGATTTCAGACAAAATAATTTTGGTTTCCAAAAGCATTAAAAACAAATCATTTAGAAACGCAATTTTATCGACATTTTATTTTGAAAATAATAAATATGTCAAAGTTTTGTATTTCTTAATTGATTACATTACTCGTGATGTGTTTGGAAAATATGTCGAAGCATCTATGAGTAAACTTCTTAGTGCCAAGAAAAACTCAGAAAGACCTTTAACCGGATGTTCTCCAAAGTTAAGTGACACGCCAATTGCAATTGAAATTAATTTCTAACGCCTCTCGAGTCACATGATGAAACGAGTTCAATGAATATTATTGAGGTGGCAAGAAGTCATCGTAACTTTAATTGAATTAATTTTGAAGAATGGGGAAAACATATTTCATGCGCAAATCAAGAAATTATCTATGATCTCGTATTAACCTATGTAAGTTGAAACAGGTCAATTTATGTTGGAATTCAATTATTTATTACTTTCCCATGTTTGTGAATTAAAAAAATAAATTATTTCTCCATCTAATTCACATGCTCGCTAAATATTTGATAATCGTGAGAAATGTCTGCATGTTAAGAAACGATGCTGCTGTTGCTGACTGTGAACCATCTCAGAGGTGCTAACAACACTCAATTCATCGAGACTTACAATTGATTTCACATTGATTCAAAGTCAATGGAAGAAAAGTTGAAACAAAAAAACATGAACACACGTTGAGAATAGAAATTCAATTCATCGTTTGAACCAAAACATAGCGAAAAAATATGAAAGAGAAAGATTATCGTCGAAAGAAATTCCATTTGACCCAATGACTTGATACATGAAGTGAAACATTTTTCTCTCTCTCTGTCTGTTTATTTTGTTTATTTATGTGCTCCATGTGCTGAGGTTTTCAGCTTTTTGTTTTACTTTTCTGCAATTTTCGTTTTTCAAAACATTTTCTTCTTTTGCCATCGATCTCAATTGCACGTTTTCTGGTGTGCAACAATTTCTTTTGTTTAAATTGTATAATTTATCTNCGTTCATCTCTGACTCATTGAATGTACACGAGAAACAAACAAAATGGAATTTATTGTAACTTCAATTGTCTCTTTTGAGGTGCCTTAAAGTCGCAGCCTTTAATTGAACTACTGTGGGAGCTTTAAATATTTATTTGTTATGCTAGAATTATTGGGAAACTACGATCTCATATTAACCTAGCGTAAAGCAGGTTAATCAAATAATTGTTGAACTTTCACATTCAACGATGCCACACTTGTAAGCTGAAGATTATTTATTTTAGAAATATTTCCACAAATTCCACACATTCGATGTTCGTTTGATATTTGATAATCGTGAGAAATGTCTGCATGTTAAGAAACGATGCTGCTGTTGCTGACTGTGAACCATCTCAGAGGTGCTAACAACACTCAATTCATCGAGACTTACAATTGATTTCACATTGATTCAAAGTCAATGGAAGAAAAGTTGAAACAAAAAACATGAACACACGTTGAGAATAGAAATTCAATTCATCGTTTGAACCAAAACATAGCGAAAAAATATGAAAGAGAAAGATTATCGTCGAAAGAAATTCCATTTGACCCAATGACTTGATACATGAAGTGAAACATTTTTCTCTCTGTCTGTTTATTTTGTTTATTTATGTGCTCCATGTGCTGAGGTTTTCAGCTTTTTGTTTTACTTTTCTGCAATTTTCTATTTTTTCCAGATTATTTCTGTAAGCATTGATCTCTGCTGGAAATATTTTCTAAATCTAATTTATTTTCAAGAAGCTTTGGTCGTTATTTATGGCATGCGAGAAAAATTGTTTAGATAATTTGATGCTTAAATATTTCTCACCCACTAGGTATTCAAAATAACTTAGAAATAGTTTCATTACTAATTTTTTGCACTAAAAAATATTCTAAATATCTCAGCGTCTTCCAAAAATTTGAAATGAAATCATTTGTTGATAATTTCAAGCCTCGCATTAAAAAATATTAAAAAAGCCATTTCCAAGTCTATAGTGAAACTTTTATTCCAACAACTCGTTTTCTAGCTCGATAATTCTCTGTTTTTAAAAGTGAAAGAAGCAAAAGTTGTATATAATTACAAGATTTGTGCAAGCAAGCCCTGTACCGTCTTATCGTTGTGGATTGTTTACATTCCTGATCATGCAATAAAATCCCTTCACTTTACACTCAATTGGCCTGTTGTCGTTACTACTTGATTATAATTATCTTGAAACCTTTGTTCAATGCAGCTTTAGACTTTTCAATAACAATAATAGTATAATGATACATTAATACTCTTTGAATCTTTCATTACGACACAGTTGCTTTAGTATTCATTAAAAATATGACCACAAACGACTCAGACTCAGCCAGTTTGGAATCCAACATTGGATCGTTTATGCTAACTAAAGGGTTGAAGTAATAAATTTAGTAATACGTCTTTTCTGCCTAACAATCACAACTGCAATAATGTTTCTGATGACCTCGAAAGGCAATCAATTAACCGATGCACTTTCAGCTGATTTTTTTCTTATTATTTTTTCTACAAGGTTTACATCNTGTGCTCCATGTGCTGAGGTTTTCAGCTTTTTGTTTTATTTTTCTGCAATTTTCGTTTTTCAAAACATTTTCTTCTTTTGCCATCGATCTCAATTGCACGTTTTCTGGTGTGCAACAATTTCTTTTGTTTAAATTGTATAATTTATCTAAAAAATGTGAATTTCGTTATTTAAATTGAAAGCAAAATTTGTTGTGGAACTTTTCAGTTTCAGATTGAAATAATTCACTAATTGATACGTTATGAAGTCAACTTTTAAAAGTTTTTCTCAAGTTTTTCGTGGGTTTTCTCTTACTACGCCAGCTGGTGTTTAATTGCATAAATTTAAGTGACATCATTAAAAAAAGTTTAAAAGTCATTTCCGTTGTGGTCATTAAAAAGATTGCACAAACATAGATAAGAGCTTTATTTTCATTATCGCTTTAATGCTTCTGATGACCTCGAAAGGCAATCAATTAACCGATGCACTTTCAGCTGATTTTTTTCTTATAATTTTTTCTACAAGGTTTACATAAACAAGTGCCGATAATATTTAATTGCATACTTGTACATTGGCCGCTGCTAAACTCTGATTTATTTTAGAAATTCAAAAGATATCGAAGGCCTGCCTCGAAAGGAATTTTAATTATTTATATTTACCTTTCAAAGATTTCTTCTGCTTGTTATTCCAAAATATGTTTTCAATATCGTTTCGATGATGTTGTTTACTTTGTGCTTGTTGTGTGATTCATTCAACAATGCAAATTATTTCGTTTTCTTTTTTGATTTTTATTCTCAAATTGTTTTCCGAACTTTTATTGCACTTTTCTAATTATTTTATTTTATTTAAGCAAGTTTCACATTGAATGAGTAGAAACTCGAAAACTTTTCAATTTTGTTAATATTTTTTCTTTTTTCCGGCAGAGCTTTTCAGCAACTACAACGTTTGAAAATGTGAAGTAATTTGCGTATCTACAAACTTATTGTTGAACCGCTCACTAAGCATGCTATTACAAAACAACAACTTTTATTACACACTGCACGAGTTTTCCATTCATTCGTTTAATAAAACTCTTTTTGTGCTGTTTTCTTCTATGAAATCTTTCAATTCACAATCGGAAATCTTTCACAAGTTACGAAGGATTTCCTTACTTCAAAAATCAATGTTATCTTAAAACAGGTAGGACTGATATTAAATATTTCTTCTTTCACAAATATTTGGGTTAAATTTCCCTTCACACAGATTTTATTCGATCGAACTTCTCCGTTTGAATGCTCAACTGAAACTAGTTTTGATGGAATTCGTTTTTAACTTTTCTGTTCGTTCCATGTTTGACGACTTTGAACGTGTTGGTGGAGAACAGAAAACTGAAACGGAATGTGATGAGTGTGTGCGGTTGTGTCGAGTGTAGTCGCAGCTCTCAGATACTTGGCGATTGTTTTCAAATGGAAGATCAACAAATAATCCATAAGGATTGATGATAGATTTGGAAGGTTAAAATTCATTTTGTTTTGCGTAATAAACTGATAATTTATGTCAGTCATAAATCCGTCGAGCCTTTTTTTTGATAAGCAGCAACGATATCAATTTTAATTTTTAATCTTTACTTAAAACTTTTACGTTCGAATGGACCTCCAATATGTATGAAACTCAAGTGAAACCGGTTAATCGAACGTTGAAGTATATTTAATAAAAATAAATCTGATCTTTAGATGAACTTAAGTGTCCTTCAAATATTCCACGTTAATACAGCAGATTCTCTATTTAATCAGTTTTTCTTTAATTCGTAAGAAGTTCTTAAACTAACAGAAATTTCACTGTAATCGCAAAGTCACTATTAATAAATATAATTGATCTATTATCTACTCGTTTGAGATTTTATTAAACATAAAAAGTGTCAATTATCTATTTATTAACTCACTAAATTATATTCATATGCACGTGTTTTTAATTTCATACCGTTGCGTTATAAGGTCACGTTCAGATATCGGAAAAGCTTTTAAATTTATGTTTCTTTGAAACAGTTTTAAAATTATATTTATTATTAATGCATGCAAAAAGTTAGTTTTTGTTAGCATGACAAAATTTACAATTTTTATAACAATCAACATCAGTCGCAATACAAAATATTAAAGTAGTGAATCATAAATGTTCTCATTCTAAATCATCAATACTTTCAAATATAAATTTAAAGAAGTCTAAAATTTCAAGGAAAAACATTAGATTGATGAG